GGCCGTTTCCTCGACCGTTTCCTGGGCCGTTTCCTCGGCCGTTTCCTCGACAATTTCCTGGGCCGTTTCCTCGACCGTTTCCTGGGCCGTTTCCTGGGCCGTTTCCTCGGCCGTTTCCTGGGCCGTTTCCTGGGCCGTTTCCTGGGCCGTTTCCTGGGCCGTTTCCTCGGCCGTTTTATTGAGAAAGATATCTCTGCAGAATCTGCGCCTTTCAGGAGTAATCAGAGGCCCAAGAAGTAGATTCCTGGTAGTGCCATAGGGTGTCAATTCCTGCAGTAACTTGAGAGTCTCTTTCTTAGCTTCATCAACTTCTTTTTTGAAAAAGGAGAAACGTGCCTCTCCATAATGGTCAGAGCATGCAAGATAGAAAGCACAGTTTCGCTCTGCATACTTGATTATTCCTGCAATTAACACCAAAAAGGTTGGGAGCAAGAGCTTGTTATGTGGGAGTGACTGTATAATAACATAGATAGTTGAACCAACTTGTAATATAAGCTGAAGCAAGTGCCTGAGCCAGAATTCATTATCCTCCAGAGAGAAGGAAGTAATGTTGTCGGGGCCACCAAGATGCAACAAAAGAAAGGGTGCCCAAAAGACCAGGATGTCATCACTTCGTTCAACATGCAAGATGAGTCCTATGACAAATATAGCAATCCAATCTGCAAGCAAGTATGCTAACCAGAGCGGAATCCTGAAGAACCATTTGTCACCTATTGACCTTCTGAATGTTGCCAACAAAATAAGGACAGACTGCAGCAAGAGGCTTAGCATAATCAGTACTCTAATATTCCATGTGTCCCATAGCTCCTTCAACGTGTTAGCATCGAACGGGCGCCCGACCATTTTCTTCAATTAGCCTCCTTCACTTTCCTTTGTCAAAGCTGTCCAACTTTAGCCAATAAACTTAGAGATGCACGTACAATGAGTCTAGTTCAACCACAACCGTCCCGATCCAACTAGATATACATTACATAGATTTCAGTTTCAGTCTTTGAGAATGAAATTAATTAATACTACTATAGTTTTAATTTTAGGGTCCTAAATAGATACACTTAAAATTCAATTAGTCCATGCGGCTTTATCAAAGTCAGTTTTTTTGGTTTTAATTTTTTTCCCAATTAAGGAGAAGTTTGTGAAATTATATATACTTGCATGATATGAGCCTTATTAAATTAGCTATTTTCAATTTCATTTGTTCCTAAGTAGGGAAAAAAAGATAATCCAACAAACAATATTCGTCACCCATTAAATGTCCCATGGTTTTAAAAAATTGACCAAACTGATTGATTTAACTAATTTCACCACAATTAGTCTTAATTTCAAATCAAGTCATCATATTAAATTAGAAATGGTCAAAACCTAATCAAACTTGATCAAACCGGATCAATACCACATTTGTTGATATTATTTGCATAAAAATTTATGTATTATAAATAAAATTAATAATTTTAAATAATAATTTTAAGGAAAATGATTGGTGTGCATTTAGTTCAACATATTTTTAACACACTTTTGGTTTAGTCATTAAAAGTATAATATAAATATATTCGATTCAGTCGGTTCCTATATTTGTGTGCATGATTATATCTGTAAACTTGTTTGCCTTAAATTTCAGACTAAGAATAGGGATTTTTTAATGAGTATGTTGTGCAATGTGTTAAACCGAATGTGTACCAATCATTATTCTAATTTTAAATTTATTGAAATAAAATTAAATCAATTTTTAGAATGTAATCAACTTTAGGAATAAAATGAACCTAAAATTAAATGACTACTTTAACCAATGAAATCAATTTGAAATTGTAACTAAGTAAATGTTTGAAATAAAATCACTTAAAAGATCAGTAATTTTGTAATTAATATTACATCATTGGTTTATATAACTAATAAAGGAAAATATCATAGTTATTTAAATAAATTTAAAGAATAAAATTAATTTGAAATCAATTAATTTTAAAACGGCAATGAATTTTAGAAATAAAATTAATTTAAAAATAAATGTTACATTAATTAATAAACGTAAACATATCTCAATCAATTTTAAAAATAAAATTAGTTAAGGTAAAATAAGCTAATATTAATATATAGCAATAAAGTATTAAAGAAAGGATTTTCCTAACTTGTGCCTTTAGAGGACAAGTTAAGAGTATCTTTTTGTATTAAATGTACATAGATTAGTGTAAAAGTTGATATTAATTTTCATATCAGATAAATTTAATTGAACAATTAATAAATTAAAGGTTGATTTTTATTTTTTTAATATAAATTCATGGCAAAAAAG